CCCAGCCGGACGGCGCCATGGCGTGCGCGGGGCTGCTTACCGTGTGCCTGGTCCGGCAGCCCGCGCCCCAGCCCCCGCGGTCTCCCACGCCAGCCACCGGTTCCGCGGGACACGCGCTCTTCCAGGATGTGAGTCGGGAGGGGCAGGGGGCGTCGGCTCTCCTGGCCCCGGGGGTTGGCAGTGTCTCCAGCTCTCTCTCCCCTTGCCCCTGCCTCTGTCGGTGTCTCCCCTCCAGGTCTGTTTGGGGCCCTGCCTCCCTCTGATCCTGCTGTCTCTGTTTCCATGTCTCCCTTCTTTATCTCATTGCCTTTGTTTCTTGTTCTCTGTCTCATTTTTTCTCACCTCCTTGTCTGGTTCAGTGACACTGCCCCCACCCCCCACCCCACCCACCCCATCTGTGTGTCTGGTGGGGTAGAGACTACCAACACTTAGTCACCGGAGCAGCCCCTGGATGGGCTGATCCAGCGAGGGGGCCTGGAAGAATAAGACCCAGTGCTGACCCCAGAGCCCCTTAGACCTGACTCAGAGGCCGTGGGGTCCCACAGTTGGTCAGTGTTGCCCAAAGTCATCCTCTGTGGTCTGTACACTCTTGTGCGTGGCAGGTGGTCTGCAGGCCCCACGGGCACCAGGGTGGAATAGCCTGGCCATAGTCACTGCCCTGAGCCCCTTCCCCCACCTTTCACCCCAGTGCTCAGTCCCACCTGGTCCTCTTCCCAGAGGCCTCCTACTCCCAGAGGCCCTTGCCTGTGGGAAAGGCTGTCCTCCTGTCCCTTCCCCACTGCCCCCAGTGACTCAGCACCTTGACCACAGCCCTCTTGGCTGGAAGGGACCTGACCCTCCCATTTCCCAGATGGAAAAAATAAGGCCTGAGGGGTTAGGGGTATGTCCGAGATCACACATGGAGATAAGGGCATGCTAGGGTGTGGCCCCAGGTGCCCTCATTCCCAGCTTAGCACTCTTCTACCCCTTACCCCCAGTCTCTCCATCTGCCCCAACTAGGCTATGCTGGGCTGCTGTGACCTCAAGCCAGTGGCAGACCTCTGAGTCAGGCTTCCGGCTAGTAGTTAGATTTATTCCTGAGCCTCACCTGTACCGAGAAAACAGCCAGAGGGGAGTGGCACTGAGAACTTGGAGCTGCTAGGGGCTCTCTGTCCAGGCTTTGGCCTGCCCCTCCTTGCCAGGCTGCTGGTCCCCTTTGCTGGGCCGCTTTAGGTGATCTGGAGTCTCTGGTCCCTGGGAGAGGCAGCACCATGTCTTGACTCTGTGCCTTTCTGTTTACCCGCCTCTGTTGCCCTTCATCTCTGCTTCTCACACACACACTGAGTCGGCCTCATAGGAAGCCCCAGGCCTGGAAGGTTAACCCCAGCCTGCTCTGTCAGGTCCTAGGGCTAAAACTGAGACACCGGCAGAGGAAGGACAAGCACACAAGGAAAGAGCCGAGAGTGGGCAGAGTCTGGGATGGACCATGGCCCACAGTAGATTTGGGGGTTCGGTCTGGGACAGGTGCCCAGGATTCTCAGGCCTCATCTTGGCCCATTTCCCCACCTTCCTCAAGCTGGGACTCTGCCAAGGGCTGATGCATCAGTTAGAAATCAGGATATACTCAGTGTGGGAGGTGGGGGTACAAGGAGCTGGCCTGGAGCACCCCCCATGAAGCCAAGCCCTGCAGGAAGAGTGAGCAAGCAGTTGGACCTGCTGTGTGCTCTTCCTCTGCCCGCCTCGTTGGAAAAGCTCCTGTAGGGCTGAGCTGGGCAGGCAGTTGGGACCAGGCTGGGCAGGAGGAAAGGCTAGGCAGGGGGCGGGTTGGCCAGCTGAGGCTCTGTCAAGTTGGGCAGGGGCCTCTTACCTCCCAGACTCCACTCACAGCTCCCATCCATGCCTCTGTCCTCTAGGTTTTCCGCAGAGCAGACAAGAATGGTGAGTGTGGCTCTCCCTGGGCCCCACAGTGGGAGGAAGTGGGGGGGCATCATGTAGGCTTGGGAGGATTGGGGTTTTAGGGGCACAATCTAGAATGGAGAAAAATTTGGGGGGACCCAAAGCAAGAGAATCAATCTAGGCATCCTTCCTGGAGGAAGTGCTATTTTGAGCCAAGTTTGGCTGGATGGAGAGGGGAGGGAATGTAGTTTAGCCAGAGGCTGAAAGTAGAGTCTTTCATGCAGTCAGTGCCCTGGCACAGAGGTAGGTACCTGTACCTTTCTGTGTATGACTGATTTCTACCTCATTTCACAAACAAAGGAACAGGGGCCCAGAGAGGTCAAAGCAGGTTGCCTGAGGTCACACATCCTTTAACCCAGGTCTACATGGTGCTTGGTCCCAGGCTCCCTGTGAGAGAGGCTGGGAAATGTGGGCTAATGGGGATGAGGCCCTGTGGGGAGTTTTACTCTTAGATTTTTAGCGGGTTCAGTAACGTTCCATATGACCAACTATCTGGATCCAGGGAGGGCCTGGGCATGATGGAGCTGGCTCCAGGGAATCAGCTCCTCCTGCCCCGGGTCCTGGGCAGTCGCAGACGCAGGTCTAGGAAAACCTTGAAAGTAAAGCAGGGGACCCTGCAGGCAGGTTATTGCCCACAGGTGACCCAGAACAGCCCACTGTACCCTGATTGGCCAGGCGAGGATCTGAGCTGAGGCAGCCAGCCAGCCTTGACCTCCCTTCCTCCGGGCTCTTCAGCCTCCTTGAAATAGGGTCCTGTCCCTACCCTTTGGCCCTTTAGGTCTCTTCAGATTGGTAGAGACCATTTGTCCCAATCCATTGATCAGGACGCATAGTCTCATTTGGATCAGAGCATCCTGTCCGATCCCCCTGCTTAGAGACCTTGCAGGCCAGCTCCCCCGTGTCTGTGGCCACCCACTCGAGTGCTCTCAGCTTTTCCACATGCCCTGGTAACGGAGGGTATTCACTCTGGAGCCAGTCTGCTGCTTCTCACAGGGGCCCCAGCCCTTGAGAAGCTCTCATCAGCCTCCCTGCGGCTTCTCTGTGAAGGGCCTGTGTTCACAGTACAAAGGCTGTCCTCATCCTGGGGCCAGGCTGGCCAGCATGTGAGGCACACTCAGCCCCCCACGTCCTCCAGGTGACATCTCGGCCCTGCCATGATCAGGCTGTGTCCCAGGCTGTTCATTTGTTTCTTCATTTGGCAAACATTTATTGAGTCCCTACCCAATGCCAGGTGTGTAATGCCCGCCTTGGGTACACGCAAAGTGGTCTCTGTTGCCTTAAGTGGGCCTCTCTAGCGGCTCCTGTCCTGTCCCCAACAGCTAGGCCCCCACCAAGCTCAGAATCGCATTCCACCTGGCTGGGTGGGTGTGAAATGCTGTGAGGCCTTTGGGGGCCTGGACCTGGTGGCAGGGGTCAGCTGGGGTCAGGGCTATGGACTCCGTTCCCTGTCCACCCCCAGATGATGGGAAGCTCTCATTTGAGGAATTCCGGAATTACTTTGCTGACGGGGTTCTCAGCCCTGGGGAGCTTCGGGAGCTGTTCAGCGGCATTGATGGGCAGTCCACTGAGTGAGTACAAGGGGAGATGGAAGAGCCGTGGGTAGATGGTGCCTTATGGGGGACAGAGGACAGAAGGAGAGGGGATGTAGGGGGAGGGGTGTCCGGGCTCAGTGCCAAGTTTCACCCACCCACTCACTGCCTCCCTAGCTTCAGTCTTGCCCACCACATTCCAACTGGGACCTTAAAATAGCCAGACCTGAGTCACCATCCGTGGTTCAGCCCACAGGCGCCCCCCTCCCCATGCCTGCTTCCTGCAGAACCAGAGGATGCCTGGGGACAGCTGGGGCCCGCCTGCTCCCACCCATGGATGCAGGTACATGATCACGCACATACCATCCCACGTGTGCTCCCACATCTACAAGCCTTAGCACGAGTTTGCATGCTTTCCTCCCTATACTGCCTCAAGTGGGTACGACACGTACACAGCTGTCCCTCCCTCTCACTGCCCTTCTCCCCTCATCTCCTTAGAATAAATTCTGAGCGCCCTAGCTGGTTTCACTCAGTGGTTAGAACATTGGCCTGCGGACTGAAGGGTCACAAGTTCGATTCCGGTCAAGGGCATCTACCTAGGTTACAGTCTCGATCCCGGCCCTGTCGGGGCACCTATGGGAGGCAACCAATAGATGTGTCTCTCTCACATTGATGTTTCTCTCTCTCTGTCTCTTCCCCTCCCGTCTACTCTCTCTAAATCAATTGAAAAAATATCTCCAGGTGAGGATTAACAGCAACAAAAAGAAAGAATACATTCTGAGGATTGGGCTGGACCCCTTGTCTGCCACCCCCTGCACCTCACCACCAGACACTCCAGTCAAATTCCTTGTCCTTCAAGGCCTGACACAGGCAGCCCCTCCTGTAGGAAGCCCTCCCTGACCTACCAAGCAATACCCCTGCCTTCTCTGTATTTTCTCAGCCTTAGTTTCCCCTTCCCAGCTCTGACCACTCCTCTCTGGCCTGTGTCCACATCTGTCTTCTTGGCCTGAAATTCCCTTGGAGGCCAAGAGTGGGTCTGAGTTTCTGCCCTCAGAGAGTGTTTTATGGGGCAGCAGTATCCTTGCTCCCTCCCACCACCACCCCCGCTCCCCCACCCCTGCCCCACAGCCTCTGCCCACTGAGCAACCTAACCTGGGGTGGAGTTAGGAGTTGCCTCCTTGTCAGGCTGAGCTGGGTGGGGAGAGGGAGAAACGTTGGCTTCAGAGTCCCAGTTCCCCAGGCTCAAATGTGAGGGTCTGAAGCACCTTCTCTTTTCTCCACAGCAATTTGGAAACGGAGAAACTGTGCGGTGAGTAAGCCCCCTGGAGCTCTTGTCTCCCGGGACCTCTGGGCACTTGTGTGTGATGTGGGGCTGTTGCTGGTCTCCTGATGAGTCGGATGGGCTGGGTTCAGCATGTGAGGCCTGGCTGGCTGTGGAGGAATTCTCTGTTGGGTAGATGGGGGCAGGGCGGGAACCTTCGAACACCCTCTCTGCCCACAGACTACTTCTCAGAACGCCTGGGTGTCTACAGGCCTGTGCTGGCTGCGCTGGAGTCCCTGAACCGTGCAGTGCTCACTGCCATGGACACCACCAAGTTGGTGAGTGAGAGAGCTGTTATGATGGGTGTAGGGTCCCAAATGAGTTCAGGGGGTCTACTGTGCTGTGGGAGCCTCCACTGTCTTAGGCTACTGAGCTAGAGGGCTGGGTTCAAATCCTGGCTCTCCCACTTTCTGTTTGTGTACCTTTCCCTCTCTGGGCCTCAGTTCCCTCATCTGTAAGCTGGGGATAAAAATAGGGCCCGCCTCCATACGCTTGTCAAGTAAATGAGAATGAAGGCAGGGATTTTTGTCTGTCTTCTCCATCCCCAGCACTCAGAACTCTGCCTGGCACATAGTAAGTGCTTAATACCTGGAGCTGCTGCTACGACTGCTTTTTATTACTGGCCAGACCTGACTATTGTACGGTATTAAGCCCAGGACTCAGTAGGGATGGGTTGGGGGTGCGGTGTGCTTGCACGTGTGTCCACAGGCCCATGCTGGTGTGCAGAGCCTAGCGGGGGTGGAGCCTGGCCTGAGGACGTTAGGGAGGATTCAGCAAGTGTTCACCCACGTTTGTGTGCACGTGTGGACGTGTGTGCGCAAGCACAAACAGTGCTCACAGCCAGGGCTCCAGGCCTTTGTATGGTGACTTCAAAAAACCCACACCACCCATGCCTTTGTGTGTTCCTTTTAAGACATGTCTACGCTTCCCTTTGTCCCATAGCTTTTAATAAGGGGCAGGGAGGGAGCAGTGAGCAAGCCTGGCTTTTTTTGTGCCTGATGTTCTATAGAAGGGGAAACCGACACCCTCAGCCAGTGGATGATCGGCTGAGGACAGTGCCTCCCCTCCGGTCGCTTTCACATGGGATTTAGTAGCTTTTCAGAGGGTCAGTCACCTTTGGGGTCTGGCATGGGATGAATCCAAATGGTACTGTACCACTTGGGGTTGGCGTATTGTGGCAACTTCTGTGTCTATAGCCTGTACACTTGTGTGGGCATCAGCTTCCTTATTGCCATAGAAACGGCCCTGGGCGTGGGCAGCTGGAGTAGTTAGGGGAATTCAAACTGCAGGTTATAGTGAGGGCCCCAGACCACCTCCTCCTGGCCCAGAAACAGAGAGGGGGTGACCCATCACCACGCAATGACTCTGCGAGCTCCAGTCACCTGATAATTTTATCTGGCACTCGATGCCTTTGATAGAGCTTCAGCTTAGCCCGCTAAGCCTGTGCCTCTGCAGCCCGCCGGTGGCACCCCCCCTTCCAGTCCAGCATGACTCAGTTGAAGACTTCGTGCACCAGCCTGGAGCCACACTCGTGGTACATGGCCCGGGTCATCCATTGGCGTTGGAAGTGGTGCAGTGAAGCCACCATGGAGCCACCGGTCCACACGGCTGTTCCTCGCCCAGGCTTGACCACCAGGTGTGGCTGCAGGGCCCCATAGCCATGCTGCTGGCACTGCGCTAGGAGCTCCATCTCCAGGCGCTCGGTGAAACCAGGGAAAAGTGTGGAGCCACCGGCCAGCACCACAGTGTCAGCCAGCCTCTTCCGCAGCGTTTCAGGCACCTTCCGCAGTGCCCAGAAGGCCAGCGTCGACAGTCCTGGCTCCGTGTGGCCTAGCAGAGCCGGCTGAAAGATGGGCTCAGGGCAGCGGAAGCGCTCGCTGCTGAGGTAGACCGAGCATCCATTGCCTAAGCAGATTCTGGCTGGCTGGTGGCGGGCAGAGTTATGGAGGTCCCCCTCAAAGTCCAGCGA